GGAGCCTGGGCCTGACCTGTGAAAGTCCTCAATGCAGTGGATCTGGCTCGTAGCATCCACCGTGAAGGGGATGCCGTCGAGGCCACGGTGACACACCACGCAGGTGAAGCAGCCAGGGTGGTAGGCTTTCCCCATAGCCCGCAGGATCCGGTCCAGGATGGGCTGGGAGCACGTGGCACATTTCTCCAGGGTGGCCTGTTGGGAAGGAAGGCAGGAAGGTCTGGGAGCAGGCGGGAGCCATGGCAGCACAACAGGCACCCCAGCAACCCAGCCATCTAATTTCTGCAGCCCCCTGCATGTAATTCGGTGAAAGGCAGACTTGACCAGATCTGAGTTCAGGTCCCAGCACTACACACAGTATTTAACCACTAAGAGAAAAACAGGCATCAGGCTGGGTGCAGTGGCTCACGCCTGTAATGCCAGCACTTTGGGAGGACAGAGTGGGCGGACTGCTTGAGGCCAGGAGTTTAAGAACAGCCTGGCCAACATGGTAAAACCCTGTCTCTACTAAAAATACAAAAATTAGCTGGATGTGGTGGTGGGCACCTGTAATCCCAACTACTCGGGAGGCTGAGGCATGAGAATCGCTTGAACCAGGGGAGGCTGAGGTTGCAGTGAGCAGAGATCATGCCACTGCGCCCCAGCCTGGGCAACAGAGCGAGACTCTGTCTCAAATTAAAAAAAGAAAGAAAGAAAAAGAGGAACAGGAATCAGTAGTAATACCTGCCTCACAGGGGTGTCGTGGGAATCTAACACATTCTCTTTAACTGTAAGACGCTCCACATTTGTAAGAGCTGCATCCTTCCCTCCAGCCACCAGTGTTAAGCTACTTGCTTGATACTTGCAGAATTCCTCTCTGTTTGTACATCACTTTCAGTCACCTGGCTTTTAGCACCGTTCCTCCTTTGGGCTTGGATGCTCTAGTTCCCACCTTGTATGGAAGCTCCCTGCATCCAGTCGCTGACTCCCTCCCCACAGCCCCAGCCACTCACCACATAGCAGCCCTCGCAATACGCCCTCCTCTCCACGGCATAGAAATGCTGGCCCCGAAGCTGGGCCCGGCATGTAGAACACACAAAGCAGCCCACATGAAAGACGCGATCGAGGGCCACAACCCCAGCCCCGTCCCCGACCACATCTTCTCCACAGCCACCACACTGGCCTGAGGATAGGGAGAAACAGCATCAGTCTTCACAGACCCAGGAAGCCACTGTCACCTCTGTCTCCCAGCCTCCCTTCCCACGCCCCACCCGCTCCACAGCCTCAGCTCACCGAAGTACTCCCCGCTGGGCGGGTGGTTCATGTCGTGCACCAGCTTCTTCGTCAGCCTGTCCAGCTCATCCTCTGGAGGCTGGCTGAGGTGCACCTGGAAGGTGGGAATCAGGGGCTCGGTCCTACTCTAGTTCCTGATGCTGTAATACCAGGGTCCTCAACCCCCAGGCCATGGCCTGTTAGGAACTGGGCTGCACAGCAGGAGGTGAGCAATGGGCAAAGCTTCATCTGTATTTACAGCCACTCCCCATCACTTGCATTATCACCTCAGCTCCGCCTCCTCTCAGATCAGCAGGGCATTAGACTCTCATAAGAGTGTGAACGCTATTGTGAACTGTGCGTTCGAGGGATGTAGCTTGTGAGCTCCTTATGAGAATCTAATGCCTGATGATCTGTCACTGTCTCCCATCACCCCCAGATGGGACCGTCTAGTTGCAGGAAAACAAGTTCAGGGCTCCCACTGATCCTACATGATGATGAGTTGTATAATTGTTTCGTTATATGTTACGTTGTTATATATTACATTGTTATATATTACATTGTAATATATAACGAAACAATTATATATATTGTATGTTCTATTATTATAACAGAAATAAAGTGCACAATGAATGTAATGTGCTTGAATCATCCTGAAACTATCCCCCTCCCATCGCCCTCCCCAGTCCATGGAAAAATTGTCTTCCCCAAAACTGGTCCCTGGTGCCAAAAAGACTGGGGACTGCTGTAATGTCCCTGAAGGTGGCCAGGCAATTCCAGCTAGAAAGCTCATCTGAGAACATCTCAGCCCAGGGGCCTGTGGGCAGTTCTTTTTTTTTTTTTTTTGAAACGGAGTTTTGCTCTTGTTGCCCAGGATGGAGTGCAATGGTGCGATCTCGGGTCACTGCAACCTCCACCTCCCAGGTTCAAGCGATTCTCCTGCCTCAACCTCCTGAGTAGCTGGGATTACAGGCACGCCCCACCATGCCTGGCTAATTTTGTATTTTTAGTAGTGACGAGGTTTCTCCATGTTTGTCAGGCTGGTCTCAAACTCACGACCTCAGGTGATCCACCCGCCTCAGCCTCCCAAAGTGCTGGGATTACAGGTGTGAGCCACTGTACCTGGCCCCAGTGAGCAGTTCTATCCTGCTCCCCCATACCACAGCCCCGCCCTTACCTGTTCCACATCCCAGACCTCTGACTCTGCTCCAAAACCAGCCCCTTAGCCAGGCGTGGTGGCTCACCCCATCTCTACTAAAAATACAAAAATTAGCCGAGCGTGGCGGCGCATGCCTGTAATCCCAGCTACTCGGGAGGCTGAGGCAGGAGAATCACTTGAACCCAGGAGCCAGAGGTTGCAGTGAGCCAAGATGGCACCACTGCACCCCAGCCTGGGCAAACAAGAGCAAAACTCTGTCTCAAAAAAAAAACTAGCCCCCTAAAACACCACCAGCCATCCCACCCAATCGGTGTCCCATTGCCTGTAGGACCTGAAATCCCAGTTCCCCAGGGCTTACCTGGGGCCCGTGCTCGCCTCCTCTTCCTCCTCCTGCAGGGCCAGAGACCCCAGCAGCTTCCTCTTTGGCCCCTGGCCCTGGCTCTCTCTGGCTTCTATAGCCAGGCCCCCAGACTTCACCTCGGCCTGGGAGAGGAAAGTGGGGACCCGGGAGGGGCCCAGAGGCCTGAGAGGCTCCCCGCCTGGGTGGGCCACAGCCCCTCACTGGCTGTGCCACCTTCACTTGTACGGGGAAGGCCGGACCAGCTGGGGTGCTGGCAGTAGCATAGGAGGCTGGAGTGGGGCCCCCATAAGGAGACGCTGGGAGCGGCGAGGCTGGGTTCGGCTTCAGGGAGCCCGTGCGGTAGGCAGGAGGTGGCAGGGGCTCGTATGCCTAAGGAGAAATGCAGGCCAGAAGCCGTAAGCAAGGCCCCCACTCCAGGACCCACATTTGTGGAAATGACCCTGGGTGTGGGGAAGCACAGGCTTTTGCATTTGGCAAGGCCCCGTCCTCAAGTAGCTGACATGTTGGTACTTGCAGCCGTGCTTCCTCCATGCTGAGGTGCACATCACATACATCGGGGGGTCGGGCTGGGTCTGAGAGTCCAGAGAAGGGGGCAGGGTGCCGATGGGGAGGAGGGGCAGAGTCACCTGTCGCTCTGGTCGCCGTGGCACATGACCCCGACCCCCATTCAGCTCGGCCAGTGTGCTGCTCAACAAGTCTATCTCGGCATCCAGGCTTCCGGGGCGAAGGCCCCCCCTGTCTGCAGGGAGTCCCTGAGGATGAAGCCAGAGCAGGGAAGAATGCAAATCACCATAGGCCTTCTCCTGTCCTGGGTCCCCCAGACTCGGTTCTAGGGACGCCGCACATCCCACCCCGCAATCCCAGTTCTCACCTGCGTGCGCTGGAGTACTCCGTGGGACCCCACCCAGGCCGGCCCCCGATCCTCCGGTCCCCCTGGGGCCTGGTAACACTGCTCAGATGGGAGGGGGCAAAAATTGACCCTGGGGTGGGGCTGGAGTGCTGGGTTGAGGGAAGAGAGATCAAAGGTGGGGTTGCGGAGGACAGGAGGGGTGTGCATTTGGGGAGCTGCCCTCTTTGCCCCTCCTTGCCTCCTCCCCCAAATCTAGGGTCCCAAGAGAGCGCAGGCGGCTGTTCCCCCCGGCTTGGGGAAGGGGTAAGAGGAAGCAGGCAGGGCGGGAGGCTGGAGCTGGAGGACAGAGGTGAGCGCCACAGCCGGGTAGCTCTTCTGTCTCACAAGGGCTGCTTTACCTGCTCCATGGGCCGGTGGAGGCCCCGGGGTGCCTCGTGGGATCGCCCTCCCCTGAGGGGCTCTGGCGGGCTCCGGCTGCTTCGGGGGCAGCCAGGTGGGCCCCGACATGGCCTGGAACGGGGGTACTCCAGACAGCGGTCTTGAAGCCCCGGGCCTCTGGCCTTCAACCCCTCTTCCGTCCCGCACCTCGTTTGGGACTCCAGAAAAGAAAACTTTTTCTGTCTTTTTTTTTCCTCTTCCTCCCTAATTTTGGGGACGACCACGCCCCCGATGACGTCACCACATTCCTGGGGGAGGGTCACGTGGCCCCCTAGGCCCTAAACTGCCATTTCTCCCCGAGTCGGCCCCCTCCTGCCGAGAGGGGAGGGCTCTCCGGGGGAGCCCAAGTCACTGGGGGCTGCGGGCAGCTGGGGATGGGAGGTGCAGGCCCGGGCCAGCCTCCAAGTCCACGGATGCGTCCAGGCCCCGCGCCCCAGCCCTGCACGTGGCAGCCTCACTGCGGGAGGCTGAAGGCTCCGATCTCCACCCCTCTGCAGAGCTCTCCCTTCCCACCCGCTCCCTCTCAGCTACCCACCAGCACTGCTCAGCCAGCCTGTAGTGTTTTGGTCTTTTATTCATGGTCAGCAGAGTTAGAAAAATAAAACAGAACGAAAACATCACCACCCCAGTGGGCCGGTGAGTCTGGCCAAAATGGGGAAACTGAGGTAGCCCAGAGTCACGGAGGCCTGGCCCCTAGCATCAAGGCACCAGTGAAGGGAGGCTGCGGACTCCCTCCCCTGCACGGTCGGGACAGGCGCCCAGAGTTAGTGTGCTGGAGTCCCTCTGTCAAAGGAGGCGGCATGATCCCCTTCAAACCTCCCCTGGGCTCCACGTCCCAAGGGCAGGGCCACGGGACACAGTGCTTTCCTCCTCCTCCTCCTCTTTCTCCTCCTCCTCCTCAGGATCCCTCCTCCTCTTCCTCCTCCTCCTCCTCAGGATCGGGATGGGCCACCTGCCTGGGCCCTCTCTACCCAGCCCTGGAGGCAGGGGCATCAGAGATCAGTGCAGGTGACTGGGGTGACCCCGTGAACCAGCAGCGTGGGGCCCAGGTCTCGGGTTAGAGTCTCCAGTAGCGCCAGGTATCGGGGGTAGCGGGCGGGATCGGCGGGCGGCCGAGGCAAGTACAGGAAGGTGAGGGCTGTGGTGGGGCCCTCGGTATCCCTACCCTCCGGCCCACCTGGCCCTCCTCCTGTGCCACGCCCCTGCTGGGCCCGAACCAGGGCGTTGGCGCTGCGTGCCAGGGCCTCTGCCTCCACATCTCCCCGCCCACTGTTCACAAAGTCCCCTTCCTCCTCTGCCTCGGGTTCCCCAGCCCCAGCCCCCTCACCCCACACCACCTCCTGCACCTCAGCCCGGATCCTCAGTTGGCTCAGCAGCGCCCGCAGCCGCCCCTCGGCCGCCCCAGGCGCCTCCCTAGGCCCCAGGCACAGGAAGATCCGGAGCCGGGCGCTATGCCAAGCGGGCACCATGCCCAAGATGGTTGCCATCTGCAGTAGGAAGAGGCCGCAGACGTCCACGTAGCCAGGCCCACCCCGGGGCCGCAGCAGGTTGAGGGGCCACACGTCCACGTGGTGCAGCTGAGAGGTGCCCCCAGACCCCCGGCTCAGCCGCTCAGGGGGCAAGGCCCCACTGGCCCGGGCCAGCACCACATTCTTGTTCATCTTGAGGGCATCAGCCACCGTGGCCACGTAGTCCTGGGGACTGAGAGCCCGGGGGCTCCCAGGAGCCCGGGGAGGAGGGAACAGGGTACTCAGAGCTGGGGAACTGCCCTCCCTGGTACTGTCTGCAGGCTCAGAGAAAGCCGGGTCCGTCAGGAAATGGTCCTGCGGTGGGGCGTCATCGTAGAAACCCAGGACCAACGTGTTGGGCTTCATGCCACCTGGGGGCAGAGTGGGGAAGGCAGGAACAGACAGGAGTCAGGCTCACAGGCTAAGTTTACACCACGCTCCCACACGCTGACAGCAATGAGTGTCAGCCATAGGTATGACACTCCCACTGTGTACGGGCTCTCACGGCAACATTCTGCACATTTGCATAATGACTTTTCATTTTTCCTAAACACTTTCACATGCATTTATTTTATTATCTTGGTGACTAATCTCCTTCACTTAAACAGGCAAAGTTCGCATTAGGATTCTTGCCACTAATGAGCACTCCAATTCTGCGGAGAGAGTAGGACGCTGTCCACTCCCGGCTTCTAGCGGGGCATCTGTTTCATGGTAGGAGATGCGAGTTTGACTCAGTTGTGCAAACCAGACACCCTGATCAGCCAAGCTGATGACCTGAATCCCCAGGGTAATAGCGTCCCAGACTCTGCTATGGAAAGATGAGAAAATGGACCAGGCAGGGCGCAGTGGCTCACACCTGTAATCCCAGCAGCTTGGGAAGCTGAGGCACATAGATCACCTGAGGTCAGGAGTTTGAGACCAGCCTGGCCAATACGGTGAAATGCTGTCTCTACTAAAAATACAAAAATTAGCCAGGCATTGTGGTGGGTGCCTATAATCTCAGCTACTCAGGAGGCTGAGACATGAGAATTGCATGAAACCGGAAGGTGGAGGTTGCAGTCAGCTGAGATCACACCACTGTACTCCAGTCTGGGCAACAGAGTGAGACTCCAGCAAGACTCCATCTCAAGAAAAAAAAAAAAAAAGAACCAGGGCTACCCAGTATGTTTACTGCAGTAAACCCTAACCCTAGTAGTGTTTACCGTAAAACCCTAATCGTGGTGGTTCATTGCATGGTATCCGCTTACCAGGGGCTGTGTCCTATAGAAAGCACTTTGTATTTTAACTTATTTGAACCTTGAAGTAATGCTATGAGGTAGGTACTATTTAGTCTCCTCTTTTTACTGATAAGGAACCCAAAGCACCAAGCGATGAAGTCACTTGCCCACAGGCTCACGGCTGGTAGGTACTGGGGCAGGTAGGTCAACGCAATCCGCCTCCACCCAGCATGAGAGGCCACACTCTGAGCCACCGAGCTGGGCATGTGCCAACCACAATGCTCCAAGTCCATGCTGACAAGCTCTTGGTTCTTAATGTTTGAACAACCCATGTGGAATCGGATAATTGCCCCCTTGAACCAGGCTGAGTTTACAGGGAGATGCAGAGACGTCTTCCAAGACCCCTTCTCATGAAGCAAACATTGCTCAACCCATAAGTCAAATTTTCTATGATAGGAGAATCCACCATTTAAAGGAAATACTTTTCCTTTTATTGGAATAGGTTGGTGCAAAAGTAATTGCAGTTTTTTTTTTCCCATTAAAATGGCACCCCAGCACTTTGGGAGACGGAGGCGGACCTGAGGTCAGAAGTTTAACATCAGCCTGGGCAATGTGGTGAAACCCCATCTCTACTAAAAATATACAAAAATTAGCCAGACATGCTGGCGTGTATCTGCAGTCTCAGCTACTTGGGAGGCTGAGATGGGAGAAGCACTTGAACCTGGATACCGGAAGTTGCAGTTAGCCAACATCGTGCCACTGCCCTCAAGCCTGGGCAACAGAGTGAGACCCTGTCCAAAAAAAAAAAAAAAAAAAAAACCGCAATTGCTTTTGCACCGACCTGGTATCTTCCACAGGAAAACTTTCATGAGCATTGTGGTCTCTGCACAAAAAGTGAAGACCAGGCTCTCAGACACTTTGTGGGTCAATGATGCTTGGCGACACCCCAGCACATCTCAGCAGGTGTGAACTCCAGCTGATCTTGCAAAATAAACTAGTCATGCCCCCTCCTGAGTATTTCCCAGGGTTCTGATTTACACTGAACTGGGCAATGTCCAACACTGTTGAACTTCAGCCAGACTCTGAATAGAGAAGGAAGCATGCACTTTGGTGACAGGTACTGGTCCAGGATTAAGGGAGAAGGCAGTGACTGAGCATAGATAACCCCGGTGGCCTCAGCGCTAAAAGCTGAGAATTCACTGCTCCATCCACAAGCGTCCGCCCCACACAGCCTCTGGCATCCTTTGTGGCTTCGGGTCAGGGCGGGGCGGGGGAGACACGTTACTTCTCCTACATCCCAACCCCTTTCAAAGCCTGGCTGAATTACCATCTCTCCACAAAACCTTTGCCGGCCATATCAGTGCATAGTGGCTGGCATGCCTTCCTCTGAACGCTGGTGGTTAAAAACCACCTGATTTGATGAGGCAGCTGGAGATTCAAATAATGCTCCATTGTCCCCAAAAATACACTCTTCAGTGCCCATGCCCCAATTTTTGGGTCAGAAAAAAAAAGAAAGAAAGGCCAGGTGCCTGTAATCCCAGCACTTTGGGAGGTCAAAGCGGGTGGGTCACCTGAGGTCAGGAGCTCAAGACCAGCCTGGGCAACATGGTGAAACCCCCATCTCTACTAAAAATACAAAAATTAGCCAGGCGTGGTAGCACACGCCTGTAATCTCAGCCAGCTACTCGGAAGGCTGAGACAGGAGAATCACTTGAACCTGGAAGGCGGAGGCTGCAGTGAGCCAAGATTGTGCCACTACACTCCAGCCTGGGCAAGACAGAGCGAGACTCCGTCTCAAAAAAAAAAAAGGAAAAAAAAAAAACCGCAACAGCATTGCCAGTCCCTAGCATCTCCTATTAGACTTTATCACACACTGTCTGAGGCTATTATCTTTGAGCACCGTCTTATCTGCTCTCAACTATAAGGTCCTTTTGCAGTTTGCAATCTGCGGCTGACTCTCTAGGGGCGGAGAGCGGAGATGTGAAGTGGCCACAGAGGAGGGCCAAGGGCATCCAGGGAGGAGCAGCTCACCGAGGCCGGAGATTCGCAGCAGATGCTGAGCCCCCTGGCGCACGGAGGGTGAGAGAGTTAGATCCACAAAAGCCTTCACCTGGGCCCGGTCCACCAGGCTGAGCCATGCCCCATACTGCGGCTGTACAGGGTCCGAGGGGAGGGAGTCTACAGAGAAGATAAGGAAAGGAAGGTAGCCAGTGTTGGCCAAACTCAATGTCTCCTAGAGTCCAAATCACAGATGCGCCAAGGCAGGGCTATGGCTGCTTGGAGGGGTCATGGGGAAGGAAATAAAATGGGAAGAGGGGCCGGGCGTGGTGGCTCAAGCCTGTAATCCCAGCACTTTGGGAGGCCGAGACAGGCGGATCACGAGGTGAGGAGATCAAGACCATCCTGGCTAACACGGTGAAACCTCGTCTCTACTAAAAAATACAAAAAAATAGCCGGGCGAGGTGGCGGGCGCCTGTAGTCCCAGCTACTCAGGAGGCTGAGGCAGGAGAATGGCGTAAACCTGGGAGGCGGAGCTTGCAGTGAGCTGAGATCCAGCCACTGCACTCCAGCCCGGGCAGCAGAGCGAGACTCCATCTCAAAAAAATAAAAATAAAAAAATAAAATGGGAAGAGGGGCTGGTGTCATGGCTCATGCCTATAATCCCTGCACTTTGGGAGGCCAAAGTGGGAGGGTTGCTTGAGCCAGGAGTTCCAGACCAGCCTGGGAAACATAAAAAGACCTCATCTCTACAAATTAGCCAGGCCTAGGGGCTCACACCTGTAGTCCCAGCTACTCAGGAGGCCAAGGCAGGAGGATTGCTTGAGCCCAAGAGGTTGAGGCTGCAGTGAACTATGATGGCACCACTGCCCTCCCATCTGGGTGACAGAGCAAGACCTTGTCTCAAAAAAAACAGGGGGAGGGGGACTGGTCATGGTGTCTCATGCCTACAATCCCAGCACTTTGGGAGGCCGAGGTGGGTGGAGCATTTGAGGTCAGGAGTTCGAGACCAGCTTGGCCAACAGGGTGAAACCCCTTCTCTACTAAAAATACAAAAACTAGCTGGGCATGGTGGTGTGTGCCTGTAATCCCAGCTCAGGAGGCTAAGGCAGGAGAATCACTTGAACCTGGGAGGTGGAGGTTGCAGTGAGCCAAGATCATCCCACTGCACTCCAGCCTGGGCAACAGAACGAAGCTTCATCTCAAAAAAAAAAAAGGTAGGGGGAAAGAAGGATGGGAGTGAGTGAATGAGTGGGAGGGCAGCTCACCAAGGTCTCCCAGGGTGACGTGGCCCAGCACGTAGAGCCCCCCCTTCTTAAGCTGGTTGGCCAACCGCAGCAGAGGCAGGGCGCCCCGGGGGTTCCCCACCAGGAGCAGCAGCTGGGGCCGCCAGAACTTCACGTGATCCTTCCGGACGTCCAGCCGGAGCAGATACTTACGCACCTGGGTACATGGGTGAGGTGATGGGGAAGTGGCAGGATCAAATACACAGCCCTGTTCAGCGCCTCCTGGACGGGAACACCAACTCCAGCCAAAGAGAGAGGGGGTTATTTGACCACCTCCCGTCTCCCCATCACCCCGCCAGCTCTGCGGGGATACCTGGTGGAAAAGCAAGGCCTGGCTGACATAGCCCCAGCTGCTGGGACCTCCTCGCGCGGTGAGCAGGGCAGCCAGGAGACCCATGAGGAGCAGGGAGCCACCGGCCGCACCAGGGCTGATGAGGAACATCATGAGCAGGCAGGAGGCCACCCCCAGCAGGCAGGTGTGCCAGGAGAACAGGCTGAAGGTGGGGCTGCGGGCATGGAGGGGAGGAGAGACAGAAACTCAGGGCTGGCCGCACCCGAGGCTGCTGTCCCCAACCCCACGCCTGAGCCTGAGTCCTCCCCGTTTTCCCATTCCTTCCTTCTTCTCTCTGGGGACAAAGGCCTCTGAGTCTCTCACCGGAAGTTGGGGGCCGAGGCCCACTCCAGGCTCAGGCAGGACAGGTCCACAGCGGCATAGGCCACCAGGTAGAAGACAGTGACCACGGCAGCCAGCGTGTTCAGTTTCCCGGCCAGGAGCACCAGCTGGGCAGAGGCCAAGAGGCGTGCCATTGATCCAAAGTGCCGGTGTACCCCCAAAATGCCAGTGAACACCAGAGTGCCAGTGTACCCCCAAAGTGTCAATGAGCCCCAGAAAGTGCCAGTGAACCCTGCAAAGCGCCAGTGCACTCCCAAAGTGTCAATGAACCCAACCCCCAAAATGCTATTAAACCCTAAAAGTGCCAGTGACCCCCGTGTCAATGAACCCCGGAAAGTGCCAGTGTACCCCCAAAGTGTCAGTGAACCCCTGGAAAGTACCAGTGAACCATGCAAAGTGCCAGCACACCCCAAAATGTCAATTAACCCCAGAAAGGGCCAGTGCACCCCAAAGTGTCGATGAACCCTGAAAAGTGCCCATGAGCCCTGCAAAGTGCCGGTGTACCCCCAGTGTCAATGAACCCCAGAAAGGGCCAGTGCACCCCCACAGAGTGCCACCAAACCTCCAAAGTGTCAGTGAACCCCACAAAGTGTTGGTACATCCCACAGAGTGCCAGTGAATCCCCCAAAGTGCTGGGGCACCCCACAAAGTGCCAGTGAACCCTGAAAAATACTAATATACCCCACAAAGTGTCAGTGAACCCTGTAAAATGCCCATGTACCCCAAAAAGTGTCAGTGAACCCCCCCAGGGTGCCAATGAACCCTGCAAAGCACTGGGACAACCTGCAAAGTGCTGGTGAACCCCACAAAGTGCCAGTGAACGCTGCAGAGTGCCAGTGCACCGCCAAGTGCATACACATCTGCCTTTACATTTGTCTTCCAGCCTGCATCTAACTGCGCCCCCATCCTGCCAGCTGGTGGGGTGAGGCAAAGGGCCCCTTGAAGAAGAAGGCTCACCTGCACCAGGCCCCAAGAATACAGTACAGCCGCCCAGGGGTTTCCGCCCCGGGACACAACCTTGGCCGGTGCCAAGATCACTCCTAGAAAAACAGAATCCATAGCAGACACATCAGCCGGGGCCTAACGGTGATGGACAAACAGACAAGGGAGGGCGTGCTCCGAGCCAGCAAGGAGGCAGAGAACCCACCAAAGAGGTCATCCCGGGCCAGGGCATGGAGGATGCGGGAGGCGCCGATGAGCGAGCTCATGGATGCTGAGAGCGCGGTGGCATAGATTCCAATCAACACCAGTGGGGGCCACAGGCTGATGGCACGGAAGAACCCATAGTCTTCCTGCAGCAGGGTCCTAGGAAGGAGGGAAAGTTGGACACAGATGATCATGCGTCATGGGGTAGGAAAATCTCCAGCCCTGATCTTAAGGATCAGACTCAGATATCAAATGTGCTAAAGGGATATGCCTGGTATTCATTGGGCGGCCTTGGATTTAATCACTCAGTGGTCATTCCTTTCTCTTTTTTTTAAGAGACAAGGTCTCACTCCAACCCCCAGGCTAAAGTGCAGTGCTATACTCATAGCTCACTGCAGCCTCGACCTCTTGGACTCAAGCAATCCTCCCACCTCAGCCTCCCAAGTAGCCAGGACTACAAGCATTTGCCATCACGCCTGGCTAATTTTTGTATTTTGGGGGGAGGGTCTTGCTATGTTGCTCAGGCTGGTCTGGAACCCCTGGGCTCCAGCAATCCTCCTGCCTGAGCCTCCCAAAGTGCTGGGATTACAGGTGTGAGCCACCGCACCCGGCTGTCATACCTAACGGTATATGCACAAAAGGCCAAATATTTGTGGAAATGCAAACTGGGTAGAAAGTCACTAGCCACCCTCACTTGCAAGCTAAGTGCCTACAACAGCACTGGGTCCATGGCAGCTGCTGGCTACAGGTTGTCAATCGCTGGTAGCTACCCTCCCCCTATTTTCCCTCCACTCCAACAAGCTGGGTTTCTGCTCCCCAGTCCCCCAGCCTGTGCTTCCCTTGGTGACCCAGATGCACCAATCTTGTTCGACACTCCACCCCCGTCCCTCCCCAGACACCTGTCACAGGTGAAGCTGGAGAGGAAGAAAAGCAGGACATAGACGAAGAAGGTGTAGGCGACAGCGACAATCGTGCCCAGAGGGATCGCCCGGCTGGGGTCCTTCAGCTCCCCTGGAGAAGGGGGAGCAGAGGGAGCGAGGTCAGCCCTCCCACCGTCCCCCTGGGTCCCTCACGGTGGCAGCCCCAAACCCCCAGGAGGCAGCAGGCAGGGACTCTCACCTGACATGTTGGCCCCAGCCATGATGCCTGTACAGCCGTTAAAGAGGACAGCAAAGACGCTGGCAAAATTCATCATGGCTCCTGTGGTGTAGTCCTCAGCGTAGCCAGCTAGGAGGATCGTCCCAGGGAGGAGAGGGCATCAGCATCCCTCTCGGGGATCCAGGCCTCTTAGCCACCCTCTCCGCACATTCCCACAGTCCCCTTGCACTGTACTCACTAAGACACCAGCCTGTCCCTGCACTGGCCCTGGGTCAGCCAGACACATTGCCACGTCCCCCTAATGCTCTGACATTCCTCCCTCCAGACCCTAATCCATACTCTTTTATTTATTTATTTATTTATAAATTTATTTATTTATTTAGAGACAGGATCTCGCTCTGTCACCCAGGCTGGAGTGCAGTGGCTCACTGCAACCTCTCCCTCCTGAGCTACAGCGATCCTCCTGCCTCAGTCTTCCAAGTAGCTAGGACTACAGGTGTGCACCACCATGCCCATCTAACTTTTTAATTTTTATTTATTTATTTATTTATTTATTTTGAGACGGAGTCTCGCTCTGTTACCCAGGCCAGAGTGCAGTGGTGTGATCTCGGCTCACTGCAACCTCTGCCTCCCTGGTTCAAGCGATTCTCCTGCCTCAGCCTCTCAGGTACCTGAGGTTACAGGTGCCCGCCACCACGCCTGGCTAATTTTTGTAACTTTAGTAGAGATGGGGTTTCACCATGTTGGCCAGGCTGATCTCGAACTCCTGGCCTCAGGTGATCCACCCAGCTCAACCTCCCAATGTTCTGGGATTACAGGCGTGAGCCACTGCACACAGCCTTTTTTTTTTTTTTTTTTTGAGACGGAATCTCATTCTGAAGCCAAGGCTGGAGTGCAGGGGTGGCAATCTTAGCTCACTGCAGCCTCTGCCTCCCGGGTTCAAGCGATTCTCATGCCTTAGCCTCCTGAGTAGCTGGGACTACAGGAGTGCACCACTGCCCCTGGCTAATTTTTGTATTTTTATTTTATGGTTTTTGTTTTTTTTTTTTT